TTTTCAAATAGAGATTCAACATCTTTATGATATTTTCCCATCCATGAGCACCGTTTCCTCTCTATTTATTTAATATTCTCTGTCTTTGAAAACAGTTACAATTTTCTTTGTAAAGGCCTCATCTCTTGTTAGATTGATCAATAGTGAATTATGATTTCAGTTTCTTTTTTTTTTTTATGATTTCAGTTTCTAAATGGAATACTCTTTTTAACGGAATGCTTTTAAAAATTATATTGTCTAATACCTTATTTCTGATCTGTGAGAATGTAATTGTAATTTGTCAAATCCTTTCATTCAGTCTTCTACCATAATTCCTTACAATGACAGTTTACTTCTTCTAATCTTCACATCTCTTTTCCTATCCTACTGTGTTGGCTACGACTTCTATTACAGCGTGAGTATAAATGTTGAAAGTGAGCATTCTTTATCTTATTTCTGACTTTAGAGGTAATTCTTCTAGTGTTTATTCAGTATGTGTTGTGCATGTAAAAGTTCTGGTCACCAATCCCAGCGTGTATGTGTTAGAGTGGAGTTGGGGTGGGGGCTGAAGACATTCTCGCACCAACCAAGTCTCCAGCATGAGCTGGGTGTCCTACAATTCAGTTCGATTCTGACACTGTCTACCTGGAGGTAGTCATATCCCACAGGTTAAGGGCTTAGTCCCCCAAGACAGCTCCCTGACCCCAGACACCAGTGGCAAGATTTGAGGTTCCAATGACCCCTCCTTAGGTTCTATTGATGTGCTAGAGTGGCTTATAGAATTCAGAGAAATACTTTACATACTAGATTACTGATTAATTATGAAAGTTAATATCTCAGGAACAGCCAGATGGAAGAGATGCTTAGGGCAGGGTTGGGGGAAGGGCATATAACTTCCGTGACCTCTTTAAGTATGTACCATTCTCCTCATATCTCCATGTGTTCACTGTCTCAGCAGCTCTCTGAATCCTCTCCTTTTGGGTTTTTATGGAGGCTTCATTCCATAGGCACAATTGATCAAACCACTGGCCATTGGCAATTACTTTAACATGTAGTCCCTCTCGCTCTCCTGGACTTTTTTGGGGGGAGGAGCTGGTGGTATGGGACTGAAGATTCCAGCCCTCTAATTACATGGTTGGTTCTCCTGGCCACCAGCCCTCATTCTTAGGTGCATTCCAAAAGTCACCACATTCACATAATAAGATACCTTTATCGCTCTCATCACTTAGAAAATCCCAAGGCTTTAGCAGCTCTGTGCTAGAAACTAGGGCAAAGACCAAATACATATTTTTTATTATAAATCACAATATCAGCGGGTTTCGGGAAGATACCATTTGTCACATTAAGGACATTTCTTTGTTTCTAGAGTTTGTTAAGGGTTTTTATTGTGGCTGGGTCTTGAATTTTATCAAAGTACCTTCTGAAATTATGGGTCAAAAACATGGATTTCACTTGGGTGTGCATGAGTGTGCATTATGTGACCAGATTTAGTCATAATCATTGTTGTTATTGTCTTCATAAAGTAAATACTGCTTAGATTCACTTTTACTTTTACCACCACTTTGTTCACCTCTCTTCCATGTATGTAATGTCTTTTCATACGTACTTCCCTGTTTTTTTTTCTTTTTTAGTGAGAGTGTTTAATAGTAAGTTCTCTCCCATCTTTTTTTTTTTTTTTAAGATTAAAAAAAATCTATTTGAGAGAGAGAAAGCATAAATAGGCAGAGGGAAAGGGAGAAGCAAGCTCCCTGACCTGCTGAGCAGGGAGTCTAATACGGGTTCAATTCCAGGATCCCAGGATCATGACCTGAGCCCAAGGCAGATGCTTAATCAACTGAGCCACCAGGCGCTCCAATTCTCTCCATCTTTGTCTGAAAATGCCTCTATTTAATGTTCACTCTTGAATGATATTTTGGTTGGGTTTTTTTTTTGTTGTTGTTGTTGGGTTTTTAATTTTAGGTTAACAGTTATTTTTTTTCTCAACAGTTTGGAGACATTTGCTTGGGTCCTTTAGTGCCACTATTGAGAAGTCCACTATCCATATATACAGTTAATGTCATATTCCTTCCTTTGTAGGTAATTTACCTTTTTTCACTCTGGATGTTTTAAGATCTATTCTTTGTTCTTGGTATTCTGCAGTGTCCTTCCAGTATGGTTGATTTTATTTGAATTTTTCCTCATTAGGATTCAGTATAGTTCCTTAATTGGAAGATACATGTATTTGATTATTTCTGGAAATTTTTCTTGCCATTATCTTTCAAATGTTGTTCTACTTCATTTTCTGTATTCTTTCTGGAGTGCTAATTAGAAGTATTCTGAACTGCCTTATTTTGTTCTCCTTGCTCTTTATCACTTAAAAAAAATACATTTCTGAGTAATATCTTCAGATCTATCCTCCAGGTTGTTAATTCTTTCTCTAGCTGTGTCTAATGTGCTATTACTCACAGTGAAACCATTGAGTTTTAACTTTGGTGATGAAAATGTTTCTTTCTAAATGTTCTGTTTGGCTCTTTTTCCAGTCTGCTTTGTGTTTTTTGATAGTGTCTAATTCTTTCTTACGTTACCAATTCCTTGTTTAAGTCAATAATTATTTCAAACACCATCATATAATAGTTTTTATCTGATAGTTCAGTTATCTCTAGTTCTTGGGGCTCTAATCCTATTGGATCTTGATCATGGTAGATTGTTTCCTCTTATTACTTGCAACTTTGGATTTTGAGATCCTTTTTAGAAAGGCTTTATCTTTGGGACTTCTCTGCAATGGGTTAAGACTGTCTTTTCAGATATTTTTCAGTCGCGAACCACTATTTATTGTCATGAATTGGCTGGGAATTCCTGAATAATGTAAAATTCAAATCTCAAATCCACTTAAGGTTAAGGCAGGCCTTTGCTTACAAATATTTAGGAAAGACAGTTTTTCTTCTTCTTCTTTTTTCCTAACCTAGGACTTAGGCCAAAACAGATGATCTTCCTTGTCATATTTTGTCAGTATTCTGCCTTTTCTCGGAGGATTGAGGTACGAGTTCCAACCTCCCTGTACAGGTCAGGTCTAAGCTGTCATCTGAGTAGCCATTGAAACCCAATGGCCTCATTACTAAGATTAACTTACCCCCTTGCCTCCCAGGGCTATTAAATATATTTTTTAAAGATTTTATTTATTCATGAGAGAGGTTTTTTTTTTTTTTTTTTTTGACAGAGTACAAGTGAGTACAAGCAGGGGAAACAGCAGGCAGAGGGAGAAGAAGTGGAGCAGGGAACCTGATGCAGGGTTTGATCCCAGGACCCCGGGATCGTGACCTGAGCCAAAGGGAGATGCTTAACCAACTGAGCCACTCAGGTTCCCCTTAAGGAAAACTTATTTTAACAGCCACAGAGAGGAAGCCAACATTTGGTATGCTGAAAGGGCAGAGAAGAAGACCCAGCCGCACTGTTGACTTACTGTAGGACCTTGGGCCAGTCCTTAGGCTTCTCTGGGCCTCAGCAAGCCTAGGGGTTTCAGTTGGATTGCCTCTGGGGTTCCTGCTTTAAATTGTAATACTTCTCACCTCCTTCAGACTGCATGTCCGCCAGCAGCTTGGCCAGGTTCCTTGGAACTTCTACTCCCTCCGAGGTTGTACCCCCATCCTCAACTCCTTTTCCTTCACTGTGGACATTGACCACACTCACCCTCATACCCACTACTTTGTGAAGAGCTGTGGGGTATGTGGGGCTTCATGTATAGGGCAGGAAAAGACAATAAGGAATGCTCTGGGAAGGTCTTATCTCAGAGGGTCCTGGGTACAAGTAGGGGTGGGGAACTCAGGCACTTAACAACACTCCCGGCCCTGTGCTTGGGCTAGTGGCAAAGGGCAGGGTTGCATTGTCAGCTTCTGGAGACACCAGCAAATCAACCCCGCAATAGCCCCAATGTGGGAGAACCTGCCACAGCTGAAATCTTCCTTTGAAAAGAGCCCAAGCTGAGGATGGGGATGGGAGAATGGTGACCTGCATTTTATTTTGCATCCTTTTATTTTTAAATATACAATTTTGGTTGTAGTAAAAAACACATAAGATTGATCATCCTAACCATTTTTGAGTATATTAGTTTGGTAGTATTAAAAGTATATTCACGTTTTTGTGCAACAGATTTCCAGAACTTCATCTTGCAGAAGTGAAACTATGTACCCATTAAACAACAACCCCTCAGTTCCCCCTCCCCGCGGCTGCTGGGAACCAGCATTCTATGCTCCGTGTATGATTTTGACTACTTTAATACCTCTTATAAGTGGAATCATACAGCATTTGTCTTCCTGTGGTTGGCTTTTTTCCCTCAGCATAATGTCCATGAGGTTCATCCATGCTGTAGCATATGACAGACTGTTCTTGCTTTTTAAGGCTGAATAACATTCCATTTGTGTATATAGCACATTTGGTTTATCCCTTCATCTGTCCACAGACATTCGGTCTGCGTCCACCTCTTGGTTATTGTGAATAAAGCTGCTGTGAACATGGTGTACAAATATCTCTTCAGGACCCTGCTTTCAGTTTTTTTGGATCTATATCCAGAAGTGGAATTGCTGGATTGAATGGTAGTTTTTTTGTTTAACTCTTGAGGAACCTCCATACCTTTCTGTAATGGTTACTATTTTATGTTTCTACCAATAGTGCACAATAGTTTGCATCCTTTTGGCTCCTTGTTGACTTGAGGCCAGAACGTCTGTTGGTCCTTGGTCCATGTCTCCTACTTCTCAGCCCTATCTTAGGGTTCTTAGAGCTATGCTCAGAGAATGCCTGGGCCATTGTGCTCATCCAACAGGGTGTGAAGCTGGGATCTGCAGAGGGGAAATGGCCTGCTGTAGATTCCAGGCCTCCCCATCCTCCTAGACCTTTCACTTCAATCTTTAGCCTTCCCCTCCACGTTCCTGTGCTGTGGATGGCCAAGCAAGGAAGAGCGAATGATTCTAGGGCTTGGCACTCCTCGGGGTGTCCTGTCCCACGGCCACAGAGTCCTTCCTCCAGTGCTGTGGTTTCTGTCCAGACAGGTCCAACGGGCGCTCCTCCAAGCGGAGCCTTGGAGGGCAAGGCCGGCACCATTACCTCCAACGAGTGGAGCCCTCCTAACTCCCCTGAGGGGAGCAACGTCTCTGGGGGCAGCCAGGCGTTGGACAAGCCCATTGACAATGACGCAGAGGGTGTGTGGAGCCCGGACATCGAGCAGAGCTTCCAGGAGGCCCTGGCCATCTACCCGCCTTGTGGCCGGCGCAAGATCATCCTGTCAGATGAGGGCAAGATGTACGGTAAGGAGCCTGTTGGTGTGGGGTCCTGCCCTCATGGTCCGACTCTGGAAATTGGGCCTGGGCAAGGGGTGGGCTGCACAGCAGTCTTGGTGTTCTCCAAGTAATGGTGGAGGGGAATGACCTCTGGGGCATTTATCAAGTGGAAGCTGTCCTTCTGTCCTGGGTTCCCAAGGGGTGGCGGGTGTGTGAGGAGAAGCCTTGGAGTGGGTGAGAAGCTGTGGTAGTAGGAGACTTGGGAAGAGCGAGAACACTCCTACTCCTCCCAGACTGGGGAGCAGACTGGGGAAATTCTATAAGCTGCCCCCAGGCAAATGCTTTGTCAGCTTCCAGCTCCCCATCCTTGGCCGTGAAGGGAGGTTAGGAAGGTGGTTACTGGACTCATTCATTCCCTCATTCATGTGCTCACTCTGTCATGAGCCTTCTGTGGGTCAGGCCTAGCTGGGGAAGATCTGGCCCCTGCTCACAGTAGGCAGGGGCAGGGGGAGGTGAGCACATGTGTAAGAGTGCTGCAAGGCAGATGCGGAGTGTCCCAGGAGACGGTCAAGCAGAGTGCTGTAGACCTTTCACTCAGGAAAGGTCCCGTCCAGCGCTGAGTGATCTGGAAAGGCTTGATCTTTGGGAGTGGCTGAGGATACGGAACATAAAGACATACTTTGTGGCCAGGAGTCATGTGGAAGGGACCAAGCAGTCTGCCTGGGGTTGTGCCTTTGGATGGGAAAGTAGAACAACACCAAAAACTGAATAGCTGTTGGAAGGCCCAGGTCAGGCTTCCATTCCCCATAAACCCCCAGCTTAAAACACAGGTCTTGGGAGGATTTCTGTAACGGGCAGTCCTGACAACAGAGGGCACTGCCCTGGCTCCTAGCAAGATGGCTCCAGGCCAGGTGCCTGCCCACCCCTAGGGTTTCCATTCAAGTTCTGTCTCCTATCCAGCGTGGGTCTGCCCCAGCCCCCAAGACTGAGACTTTGTCAGCTGTGTGAGAGGCTCGTGAGGGCTGGCCATATTCGTCTCCAGGGGCTGCTATAAGGGATCCCTGGGTGGCGCAGCGGTTTGGCGCCTGCCTTTGGCCCAGGCGCGATCCTGGAGACCCGGGATCGAATCCCACATCGGGCTCCCGGTGCATGGAGCCTGCTTCTCCCTCTGCCTGTGTCTCTACCTCTCTCTCTCTCTCTGTGACTATCATAAATAAATAAAAATTAAAAAAAAAATAAATAAATAAAACAAAAAGGACACTGTTCCAGACAGTTCAGGTAGATCGAACCCATGTCCACTTTGGTACCACTTTGGGGCACCACAGGGCCCTCACAGCTCCTAGCACTCGTCCTTTACCTGTTGCCTTCCCTACAAAGCCACAGTAAATCTTTCTTTTTCTTGTGGGGTAAGCAAGGTCCATGCTAGCTGAACCCTGGGTCTCTTTCTCAGGTACTAGTTGTAAGTGTGCATCTCTCCTCACCAGCCCCACTGCTGTGGCTTTGCTAGGTCCCCACAGAGTCTTTCTTATTTCTGTGGCATCTGTGCCCTCTTTTGGCCACCCTAGGCCACCCCTACTCTAACCACATCCTGCTTTAGTGGTTGTTTCTTACTTTTGGACCCTATGGAAGCTTCATGGCGAAGACAGCTGAAGTGTGTGGAGCTCCTGGTTGGGGTGCCAGGTGCGTGATCAAATGCTTTATTAGGTTATTCCCGTGGAGCTGGAGAGGAATGGAGAACTGGTATCCTGGGCTCTCTCTGCTACTTTGGTGGAGAGCGGGATGGGTATTGATGCAAAGCTGAGGTATGAAGGTGTGAGGGAGTGGGGAGGGCTGTCCAGGTCTCTCAGTGGGAAGCCATGACACTTTGCAAGATACATCTTTGCGCTTTAAGGAACAAGTTTTCTGGCAAACACAGGTGGCCAAGAGGTGTTCAGCAGAAGGAGAAAGCTGAGGGTGCTGCGGGTACCGGGGTTGGGGGGTGGAGATGACAATTTGGCAGAATGAGCAGACATTTATTGGAGTGCCATGGTAGACCAGACTTTGAATGCTGAGATGGCTTTGTGTGTGTGTGTGTGTGTGTGTGTGGTATAATATATAGTATGTAATATTTATTCTCTTTTTCTTTTTTTTTTTTTAAAGATTTTATATATTTATGAGAGACTGAGAGAGGCAGAGACATAGGCAGAGGGAGAGGCAGGCTCCATGCAGGGAGCCTGATGTAGGACTCGATCCCGGGACTCCAGGATCACGCCCTGGGCTGAAGGCAGATGCTCAACTGCTGAGCCACCCAGGCGTCCTAAAATTTATTCTCTTAACAATTTTTAAGTGTATAGTTTGGTGGCATAAGGTACATTCACATTGTGCAGCTACCAGCACCATCCTTCTCTGAGGCTCCATACCCACTAAACACTAACTCTCATTCCCTCCTCCTCCCAGCCCCTGACACCCCCTCCCCTTCTGTCTCGTGGATGTGACTGCTCTAGGTACCCCACAGAAGTGGGTTAGTTCACTTGGCATCACATCCCCAAGGTTCTTTCGTGTTTTAGCCTATAGCAGAACTTCCTTTCTCCGACTAAATAACATTTCACTGTATGGATAGCCCACCTTTTGTTTATCTGTTCACCTGCGATAGACATTTGGGGGGTGCTTAGTTAGTTTTATTCAGTTGTTATGGGTAGATAATTTCTCTCCCCGCTTCACCTATAGAGGACCTGGGTTAAGAGACTTCCTTGTTAGTCAGCAGATCATTGTGACTGACCCAGTTGGGGAAATGCATGCCTGCAGCCCTCTGGCAGGCCTTGGATTGGAATTCTGTTTGGCCAAAGGGAGCCCTTGGGTGGCAGGGAAGGAGGATGGAAACGGTGTTTGGCCCATATTGTTTGTGGCTCTTCTCCTGTGGCAGACAAGGAGGGGTGGGGTCACACAGGGAGGAACGGAGGGGAGGGGCAGGGGCCAGGAGCCTCTGAATTCTGCCCAGGAAGACAAGAGCTGGCAGTGGTCTCTGACATCCTTTATCTCCTCAGTCTTTTTAAGGGAGAGGAAGGAGGAATTGTAACATCTGGTTGCAGATGCAGGGATAGAAGCTCAGAGAAGCCAAGAGTTTCTCCCAGAGTCTGTCGGGTAGTCAGAACCAGTTACCCCACCCCCAGCACAGTGCTCCCCCATCACCCTGGGTGGCCTTTGTGCACTTTGTGAAGCCAGCTGCCCATCTGCCCCTCTCCTCCCTGTACCCGCCTTCTGCTTGGCCCAGGCTCCAGGTGGGTCAGGCTCAGGGCAGGGGCACTGGAGGCTGCTCCTCAGTGTCTGGTGACTCACCACCCCCATGGCACCTGTCCTCCCAAGTACAGATCCTGCTGGGGTCCAGACACTGGCTGGTCCCCATCTCTTCTTACCAGGCGTGGGGGCTGAGCCAGGGCAGGACCGTGCAGGGAGCTGGTGAAGGGGCCCTGAGCAGAGGCTTCCGTCCAGCTGGGAGGTATATATAGCTCTGAGCTCAGCCCCATGTGTGGGATGGGACCCTGGGAGGTGGAGGAACAGGGACAAGCTGCCAAACTGACTCAGACTCATCTCACTTTGGCTGCTCCCGTCTGTCTTCTCATCTTCCCTCGGGGGACCCACTCTTGCCATCCTCCAGGGCCCTGGCCCCGTCTTGGACCCTGAGAGCCCTGGCCTGTACGCATCCCGCTTCCTGCGGTCAGAGTCTGTGGGTTTGTTTTCCAGGTGGGCCAGCCCTGTGGGAATAAGCAGGCATGGGGAGGCCTCTGGCAGGCAGAAGAGCAGACTGGTTCCAGGGTGTCTAGAGGACAAATCCAGACCTGGAGACTCCAAGGATGGGGATTAGCCCTGTTCCCGGCTCTGGCCCCCTTACAGCCTGAGTGGGACACTCAGGAAGGCCAGGCAGACATGCAGATAACATGCTGAGCTGCAGGACAGATTAGCGCCTGTTACTTCTGAGCCGAGCCTCCCACACTGTGGACAGGCTCCGGGGCCAGGGCTGCTAGCCGCAGCTGCCCTCATTTTTGCCGTGTCACTGTGTGGCCCTGGCCCTGGCACTGCCGTGCTGGTAACTCTGACCTCCTTTGGCCGGCCTGGCCTCTGGCCCCGTGGGCAGGTGGTGGGGAGAGGTGAGGGTGGAGCGACTTCTCACCCCCAGCTGCCCGCACACTCCCTCTCTCCCTCCCCTCCCAGCTCTGGCTTGCCTTCTCTGTTCCCACTTCCTGCAAGAGCGCTGCCTGGCTCTGTGTTCCCCTCGCATCCATTCCTTCCTGCCCACCGCGCTCTGGACTCTCCCAGCTCTCGTGGTCTCTCTTCCCTCTCTCTGCCTCTCCTCTCCTCACCTTCTCTGTTGTCTTGCTGGGTGCCTGTGCCGCAGCTTCTCATTCCCATTAGCAGCCAGGCAGCTCGTGTGCAGCAGGATCCCACTGCCTGAGCCGGGCTGGGGCCTAGGGCTGTGGCCTCTGTTCTCCACGACTTCCTGGGGCAGCAGAGGGGCAGGAGAAATGCGGAAAGCAAACTCATGGCCCTTATGTTGTATGTAGTGTCACCCAGAGTGCTAGGTTATCTTGGAAGTTTTCTGGAAGAAAGAAGAGCATGAGCAGGGTAGAGGAAGGGTTATGCTCCGGGAAGGGGGAAAGAGTGAGCACTGACCCAGAGGTGGGACTCTGTGTGGTAGTTTTGGTGGGCCATCTGGGCAGGTGCTGTGATGACTGTCCAGGAGTTTAAGGGACCCTATTTTGGATGAGTCACACAGCTAAGGAGAGGCAGAGCAGGGACTAGGCCCAGGTCACTGAGATTATGGGACAGCAGTCAGCAGTGTCATCTGAGCTTCTGCCCCCTGCCTCTGCCGTGTTTCTTGGATCCTCCACTATCCTTTGCTCTGTCGTCCTGCGGTTTCTGGATCCTTCCACTTCCCTTCTCTGGCCTATAACACTGACTTCACGCTTCTAGAGGTCTGATGATATGACCCTCAGTTCAGACTTGGTCTGTATCAGCAGCTGGTATGGCCTTGGGCTAGTGGCCTCACCCTT